ATATATTTAACACCTATGTATATTGAAAGAATTTACCAAGAGAGTAATGAGAGAGCCCACAGACTGGGAAAACATCTTTAGCAATGGCACATCAGACAAAGGCCTTATTACTATAAACTACAATACTCAGCTAGTTTCCAAAAAGAATAAAACTAATTGCCCTCTGAGGAGGTGGGCAAAGAACCTGAACAGAAGTTTCACAAGGGGAGAAATCTGAATGGCCAATAAACATATGAGAAAATGTTCCCGATCATTAGGCATACGAAAAATGCAAATTACAACTATGAGATACCAACTGACACCCTCATAGATAGCCTAATTTATTTTTATGTTTTTAGATAGCCTAATTTAAAAAATCAGAAAGCAACAAATGTTGGAGGGGCTATGGGAAGATAGGAACTCTCATCTACTGTTCACGAACCTGTAAGTTTGTACAGCCACTATGGAAATTGATTTGGCGATATCTAAGACCGGTGGAAATTGAGCTACCATACAACCCAGCAATCCCCCTACTGGGCATATACCCAAAAGAGGCAAGAAACAAACCATGGCCAGATATCTGCACTCCAATGTTCATTGCAGCACAATTCACAATTGCAAGAAGTGGAAACAACCCAAATTTCCATCAACAGACAAATGGATTAAAACACTCTGGTACATATATACAATAGAGTACTACACATTCCTAAAAAGCAGTTATGAACCCATGAAGCACATTGCTGCATGGGAAGAAGTAGAGAAAATTATGCTAAGCAAAGTAAGCCGAACACAAAAGACAAGTACAACATGAGTCCACTGAGGCAAGCTTAAAAATGGCAAAAGCGCCATAGGGAAAAAGCAACTGTATACAAACATTCCTGGGGTGAGGCCCAGGGAGAATGATAGGGGCCAGACCGAATCTAGGGATACATATGGTAGCTAACTAAAAAGGAGGGGGGAGTGGACATAAAAAAAGACATGGGTAGCTGGGGAACAGGGCTTTAATCCACCCAAGGGGAGGGTATTGTTTATATCTCCACAGGGAGAGAGGGAACAGACTACAACCTGGTGCACTAAGACGTGAATGCAACATACTATCACGAAGCAGGGAAATAATAGAGAGATCTGAGTGGCTGGCCCCAATCCTAACTATGTGGACAGCCCCCACTCCCCGAAGAAGAATTCACTTCAGAGGACAGCACTGAAGCTACAGCTCAGGGAGAGGGCCATGTTTGATCAGAGAACACCGAGGTAAATGGAGGGGGAGGAAGAGAGAGTGGAGCACATCCTGGCCCACCAAGCCCTGAGGACGATATCCCTGCCCAGAGCAGCCAATGCACAGAGAGGACCATAGGGCTGGCCCCACTACAAGAAACAACATCCCTCACTGACTCATAGTGCTGTGGGGGACAGCACTGGAGACACAATGTGGACATTGTGCCGGATCTGACCCCACCACACCAAAGTGAAATGGTAAGGGCATGCAGCAGAATAGCAAGGGGAGCAGAGCAACAAAGTCCCCAGGGAATGCCAAAAATAGACTTTGGGGCCAGGGTGTGGCATCCCATCAGACTCGACCTACAAGAAAACACTCCTAAAGGCCAACAAACAGACCTTGAACTATTTAGAGGCTTTTCTTGTTAGTTTGTTTTGTTGTGCTGTTTTGTTTTCTTTTGTTGCTTCGTTTTTCTCTATCTGGTTTTTTGTGCATATTATTATCTCTGCAGGTCTATCTAGATAAGATAGGTGGGATAAACAAACTAGAGGAGAAAACAACGGGACTGATGTTTCCAGGGAGACATGGGAGAGAGGGAGGCAGGGAAAGGAAGTGGATGTTAACAAACCCAGGTACAAGGGAACAACAAGCGATCTAAAATCTATGGCGAGGAGGGTGTAGGAGGCCTTGTAGGGCTTGATCAAGGGCAATGTAACTGAGAGGAATTACTGGAACCTAAATGAAGGCCGAACATGATAGTGGGACAAGAGGAAAGTAAAAGTAAAGAGAGGGAAGAACTAGTAGGCAAAGGGCATTTATAGAGGTCCAAATACAGGCTTGTACATATGTAAATATATTTATATATGACAATGGGGAAATAGATATCTTTGTATACATTTATAGGTTTAGTATTAAGGCAGCACATGGATATTGGGCCTCTATTCAAGTACTCCCTCAATGAAAGAACACTTTGTTCTTTCTATTACCTGTCATTTCATGATGCTCACCTTCCTGATACATTGCTGAAGAGAAAGCGGCTACATAAGCAAATGTGGTGAAGAAAGCTGATGGTGCCCGGCTATCCAAATATATACCCTCTGGGGTTTTAAAGGCTTGAAGATAAACAAACGACCTTCTGCTGAAAAGCAACAAAGCCCACATGGAAGAAGCACACCAGGCTGTGTGATCACAAGGTGTCGATAGGATCAGGTATCAGACATCAAAGAACAAAAAATCATATCATTGTAAATGAGGGGGAGTGCAGAGAGGAGACCCAAAGTCCATGTGTAGGCAACTGTACATCCCCTTACAGAAGGGTCATGGGGAGGAGATGAGCCAGTCAGGGTACAGTATTGCACTGATGAAACATACAACTTTCCTCTAGTTTAGCAGTTCTCAACCTGTGGGTCATGATCCCTTTGGGGATCAAACAACACTTTCACAGGGGTTATCTAAGACCATCAGAAAACACATATTTCCAGTGGTCTTAGGAACTGAGACACCGCTCCTCTATCAGCCTCCAGGAGAGTACTCCCACATGCAAATACACCCACATATGAGCACCCAGCATGAAGACTATTACCCATGCTTCAAGACAAAATTTCATTTATTTGTAATTAGAAATAAATATTTCACAATATATAATGACATATTGTTTTTGTAATTAATCACTATTCTTTAATTATGTTGAATTTGTAACAATCAAAATACATCTTGCATATCAGATATTTACATTATGAGTCACAATAGTAGCAAAATTAGTTATGAAGTGGCAACAAAATAATTTTATGTTTGGGGTGTCACCACAACACGACGAACTATATTAAAGGGTCACTGCATTAGGAAGGTTGAGAACTACTCCTCTAGTTCTTAATGCTTCCCCCCCCTCCACGATCATGTACACTGTTACAGATAAGAGCTGGAAACACAGGGAATCCGGGAGAGATAAACCCCTCAGGACCCATAATGAGAGTAGCCATACCAGGAGGGGAAGGGAAAGGTGAGGGGAGGAAAGGGGAACCAATCACAGTGATCTACATATAACTCCCTCCCTGGGGGACAGAAAACAGAAAAGTGGGTGAAGGGAGACATCAGTCAGTGTAAGACATGAAAAAAAAAATATATATATATATAAATAAATTATCAAGGGTTTGTGGAGGGAAGGTGGGAGAGGGAGGGGGAAAAATGCGGAGCTGATACTAAGGGCTCAAGTAGAAATCATGATGATGGCAACAAATGTACAAATGTGCTTGACACAAATGGATGGATGTACAGATTGTGATAAGAGTTGTATGAGCCCCTAATAAAATTATTTTTAAAAAAGAACCCTAATAAAATGTCAAAAGTTGAGTATTACAATTCTAAATTATGTGACATTAGCATGATAACGTGATTTCTGAGTGTTTCTGTGGTTCTCTAATTCTCTAAACTATGCATTTAAATTATCCTTACTCACCAGGGTCTGATTAAATAAGGCAAGTTGTTTCTGCCAGTCATCCACTCTGGTTTTCAGAGGACCCACATAACGTGACGAGGCGATGGTGGCAATGTTGATGGTGCTGTCATCAAGAAGCACCTTTTAAGAAAGGAGACAGCGGTCAGTGTAAGATATGAAAATAATAATAATTTATAATTTACCAAGGGGCCACGAGTTGGGGGGGGGAGGGAAAAAGGAGGAGCTGATACCAAGGGCTCAATTAGAAAGTAAATGTTTAGAAAAGAATGTTGGCAACTTATGTACAAATATGTTTGATACAATTGATGTCATAAGAGCTGTAAGAGCCTCCAATAAAATGATCTTTAAAAAAAAAGAAGAAAATACATGCAGAGCTATGTGTCATAACTATATACATTTAGACCCAACACACTATTTTAAAGCCAACTTTTTGAACGAATAAATTAGGTCTACCAATTCTTTTTACCCATCCACTTCCCTTCATTAACGCCCTCATTGATTGGCTTATAACCCACACTGGTGCTTTCTCAAAGTCACCAAGGGACTTTTATTCCTTTGCTAAATATTTCATTCAATTATTGAAAAAAATGATATCAGTTATATATATATGAGGGAGGCTTCTAAAAAAGTACATGAAAATGGGATTAAAAATTGATGAAATTTTTCCACAAATTTTTGAAGCCTTTTTGTATCTTGCCTTCCCAATTAGGTTTTTTTACTTCATGACTCTCATATTTCAGGACTTCATGAGAACCTTCTACAGAAAATTTAGGCTAGATCTGGACAGGTCCTTTATTGTAAGTCTTCAATAACTCAGTTACTCACCTGTATGTCGTCTGTGCCACCCAGGATAAACACATCTTTGGTATCTCGGTGAGGCAGAATGACAAATTCAGTTGTTTTCCATGAATCCTCCACCTTAGATATAATCCAATTCTTAGATTATCTACATTGATTATTATTTAGGCACTCAGTAAATGAGTGATGAATGAAATAAATGAAAACTTGATTATTATAGCATTCTCTCTTCCTTATTGTTCTTAAAATTGTTAAAATCCTTTTCTCAGTTAAATGACACTTATTTGTTTAATTTACCTATATTAATATATAGATAATGTGTTAATATGATTTACCACCGTTTTATGTGTTAACTCAAATGAGATTTTTATGTAGACATGCAATTTGTAGTCATGCATATATTTTTAAGGTAAGGAATTACTATGTAAGGAAGCACGGAAACCTTACTGGCCCTCAGAGCATCCTCACAGTCTTCTCTGGTAGTCAAGAAGAAAAATAGTTTTGCTTTGAAAGCTCTCCCTTGCCTTGTGGGTCTTTATTTGGGCAGATAATTTCAAACCTTGTTGCCATCAAGTTCTTATTAAGTTAAAGGTTAAGCAGAAGGAGGATATTTATAAGGTGATGGTAATCATGCTAATAAATGTAGATGAGCATCAGAAGGATGGATGACAATGATAGGATGAAAGCTGCATTATTAAAATGCATCAAGATACCAAAATGTTGGCAGTGACCATTCAGAACCTATACACATTCACACTCCATAGTAAACAGAATATGCCATTTAGCTCAAGATCATAGTGTCAGGGGATAGCAAGGCCAATTGAGTTAACACAGTCCACCAAAACCATGTTCTACACATCCTACTTTGGTGATCAGTGAGTAGGGTCTTCACAACTGTGAGCAGTTATCTTTCCTTGTCCCAGAAAAAGAAGAGTAAAGACAGCCAGAGACACGTGGAAACACTTAGTCAAAGGACAATTGGACCACGCAAATCCCAGCTTCAATGGCCCTGAGACAAAAAGAATTAGATGGTGCCTGGGTACTCTTGACAAGCACTCCGAAAGAGTTCACATCAGGAGGTCCTGGATGAGTCCAGGGGAGGAGGGAAGGATATGAAACAAAATTCAAAATCAAAATGATCATACTGGTCTGATGGAGACTGAGTCCTGATGCTATTGCCCTTAGATACTCTCCAACCTGGAACTGAACTTGCCCACGTGAGTCAAACAATTGGCATATCCACAGGGGGAACAATAACGTGAGGGATGTATGTACTTCTTTAAGACAATAAAGCATAAGACACCAAAAGGGCAGCATTTTCTCAGTGATAAAGTCCAGAAGGAAGTAAGGATAAGGAAGGTGGGTAAACAGAAACAATAAACACCAGGGGAAAGTAACGGGAGAGCTACTCATTGGGGGGAATGCAATCAATGTCATGAAACAAAACGCTTATAAATCGTGGAATGAAAAATCAATTTGTTCTGGAGACTTTACCCAAATCACAATAGGAAGTTTAAAAAAAAAGTACCTACATACAGATATACTAAATATAATGTATGTATTGAGCCTGGCTTTGGTAATGTGAAATTATGTGGTCTGGCTCTTTTACCCATAGTCTTTGTCACTCCCACCAAATGATTCAGTGGGGCAATGCAAATAAGCTCTGTGAAACACTAATAGAGGGATGTGGTCACTTTTACCATTCTAGTGGGTATAAAGTGAGTCATTTCCGAAGCAGAAACAGAGTCCATGACCAGTGAGAAAGAAGAACCAGGAGGGAAGCTCTCTGAGATCCCTCGAGAGGCAGATGAGAAGCAACATCTAGACAGTGAGACAGATCAGAGTAGCAGTGCTGACTGTGAGGCAGAGAGGCAAGGTTCCTGGCCCACTGAATGGGTAAAGATGTGTGTTTTGGTGCAGGAGGCTGGCTTGCAGAATGGTGTCTTTGGGCACTTATCAATACCAACGGGGCTTTGTAACACTTGCTCAGACCGGGCGGAGGCCAAGGAGCCACATGGCTAAGAGGCCAAAGAGAGACATATCTGGCAGCATGATTGAGAAAACCTGCTGAGCGTATTGTCTATGAAATTTGTGGGGTCATTGAAACAGACGATCAAACCTAGCGGAGCAGTGGAGTGCTGTTGGGGGGATGGTTGGAGGTAAAGAACGTTGGAGGGCAGAGTCATGTCTGACCTCTGTCTCATAGGAATCATGCTTGGACAGATGTGGAGTGGGATTCCCCTTTTTCCCTTTTCGCTTCTGTAACCAAGAGTTCAAATGTAGCTTCAGAACCATTTTTTTCACTCACCCTTTTAAGAATAATTTCTAAGGCAGCTTCTCCAGAAGCCTGCCCAGAAATGTCCTGGATTTCTTGGCCAAAGTCAAAAACATGCAACTCAGAGAGCTTCTCCAAGGTTAGTGGGGTTTCGAGGTCGACTAGAGTGGCATCAACAGTTTGCTCAATCGTTTTCCAATGTCTAGGCTTCAAAGTGGGGTTCCTCAAGTCAATGATAACTGGAAGCTGGAAAACAAACATTCTCAAAAACAGCATACTTTTTGCCATAAAAACAGTCTTCTCTTTTCTCAGTCTTATAAAGATAAGCATTTCATGACACCGTTATTATAAAGAAAAAAACCAACTCTCCTGGTTTCAGAAGTCTAAGCGTCTGATTTCAACTTGGGGATGCAGATGGCTAGAAAGAGCACCAACTTCACTCCTATACCAAAGGAAAATCTAGACAAATTGAAAAATCAGTGACGTTTTTTGAACCCATTTGGAACAGAGGTTTGAGGGCAACCAACTAACCTCAAATCTATGGAGACACACAAATGGAGAAACATGTCTTAAGAATTTTTCCTATAAATCTTTCTCTCTCAGTGGCTCCAGGGAGACCCCATACTCTCATGCTATCCCCCAATCTCTTGTTAGCATTTTTTTTAAATTTAGCTGAGTCATATTACTACCTTCTCTGGAAAAATTGGAGAGAATTCTAAGAAAGCTTCCCTTATAGTGCTAGCTGAGGGAGCCAGGAACAGCCACTACAAGAAGATTAGTTTCTTAATAAACAAACGCCTAATCTAAGGGAAAGAGCCACATTAGCTGCTAATTTAGGACACTCGTGATAATTCATTGCAGTGGAAGAAATGAAATAGGAGGGGGGAGCTCAATTCCTATGAGAGGGCTTCAAAAGTTCAAGGAAATGTTTCATTTTTCACATTCCATTTTTCCACAAAAGGAGCTTTGTAACACATGTCCTCTTACACATGCTAGGCGCAGCACTCGATGTGGAAAAGAACTAGGAGCGCTTGTCAGACTTCTGAAATCCTGGGTCATCCTATCTGAGTGCATTTTGTCACAGTTCCCTGAGGCCCTGGATCACAGTATCTTAGGTGTACTAAGAGGCTTCTCAAGGCCATCGGGGGATTCCTTTTCCACCCCTCTCACTGGACTAAGAAGTGCTGAGCAAAAATAACATGGACATTCAGCATGGAAAACCACTGCTGTTAGTGCCTTCTCGTTGGCCCTGACTCACAGCGACCTTATGCACGACAGAAGGAAACACTGCCCGGTCCTGTGTCATCCTCACAGTTGTTCATTAGACCTTCTTTATCTGACAGTGTCTCCAGGCTATGTGCAATGCTTGCAGCAGCTGCTTCCTTTGAAGTGGGTAGCCCAGTGCTTCTTCATTGTCTGTTCTTAGTCTGGACATTCCACTGCAGTCTACTCACACTGGGTGACCTGGCTGGTGTTTGAAATGCCAGGAGCTTCCATTATCATTCTAGCCCACCCCAGTAGGACACACTGACAGACAAGCATGGAAAACTGCAAGAGACAAATTCTATGAAGAATACAGAGTAAGGGAAGGACCCAAATGAGGGGGAAATAGAAACTGAGAAAATAACCTTTGATAAACCAGTCCAAACCCTAAGCTCAAGGTCTCACCAGAGAAATTTGAAGCGTTTGTGGAACATATGTTAACCATAGCAACCAAGCCAAAGCCATTGTCATTGAGGGGATTCTGACCCACAGTAGCGCTATATAGGGTTTCTGATGCTGTACATATTTATAGGAGCCGAGAGTCTTGTCCATTCTTCTGTGGAATGCCTGGTAAGTTTGAGCCACCAACTTTGTGTTTAGCAATCCAATGCTTACCCTACAATGTCACCATGGGTCCTTACCATAGCAAGGCCCACAAATTTAATCCAACTCTTAATGATATTTAACCCAACATGCTACACTAAAATCTCAACAGAATGAAAGGCATGCTCATTTCCAAGCATAAAAATGATTAACTCTATCTACACTGGTGACTGATGATGATTACATAGAACTGGCTTTCAACAAAATTTAAGAGACTTTAAAAAAAGGCAAGAAAAACACACATTCAAGAGATAAAACAAAAAATCAGAACCAGACTCAGAGATGCTAAACATGTTGGAGTGAACAGAACATTTTAAATAACTAGAATTAAAATTTTAAATAACTACTTAAAAGCTCAAATGGAAAATGAAGACAATATAAATAATTGGATGTATAATTTCAAGAGGAAATATTTTAATTTTGAGAAAAAGCAGAAATGCTAGAAATTAAAAAGACAGCAAGAGAAATAAAAGAATGCCGTTCATGAGTTCGACATAGTTGAGAAAACAATCAGTAAACTTGAAGATGGAGTAGAAATTTCCCAAACTGAAACACAAAGACAAAAAAGGAATACAGAGAAGAAGAAGAAAAATACAGATAAGAGGAATTCCAGAAAGAAGCAAGAGAGAAAGAACAGGGCAGAAGAAAAATAGCTGCAAGTTTTTTTCCCCCCAAATTAAAGGCAGACTCCAAACCACAGATCTCAGAGACCTAGAGAACACCAAGCACGATACAAACAACACCCCTTCCCTAAGCATATCATTTGTTGTTGTTGTTGTTGTCAGCTCCCATCAAGGTGGCCCCCTGACTCATGGTAACTCTAGGTATAAGCAGGTAGGACATTGTGATCCTTAGGGTTTTCATAGGTTGTTGGTTCCAGAATTGGAATGCCAAAACTTTCTTTCTAGTTTGCCTTAGTCTGTAAGCACTGCTGATAACTAGTCAACATCAGCACAACTTGAAAACCTTTACTCAGACAAGTGATGGTTGCATGTGAGGAGCCTTGGGCAAGGACTGACTCCTGTATAGTGAGCAAGAGCACCATTATTTAAACCACCACTGTCTTCTGCCTGCCCTATTAAAACAGAAGAACACCGAAATAAAAAGAAAATCTTGAAGACAGTGAGAGAGAGAAAAAGATATTCTCTACAAAAGAATCAGATTAAGCACTACAGCAGACTTCTTGTCAGGAATCATGCAAACAAGAAGATAATAAAAGCACACAGTTAAGTTGCTGGAAAAAAATCAATCAAAAACAAAAAGTGTCATCACAGAAGGATATATCCAGTTAAAATATCATTTAAAAATTAGGAATAAATAAAAACTTCTGAAAATAGAAGTTGTCAGTAGGCCTACATTTTATGAATTAATTAAGGAAGTTCTTCAGATAAAAAAATATGGTACAACTCAGATACTTAGTTTATACAAAGAAATGGAAAACACTGGAAATTCAGCCAATTAAAGTAAAATTACTTTTCTTTCCTAGTCTTAATTGCATTCAATGATCATTATTTACAGCCAAATATTAAGGATTACATTAACGCAAGAGATGGAAGAGCTGAATTGAAAGCATGCTATTATAAAGTCTATATCCCTTAGCATGACAGCTTTGTCACAAAAGAAGGCTCCAGGAATTGACGGAATATCAGTCGAGGTGCTGTAATCATCTGGAGCAGTGATGGCTGTGCACACCCGAGTACGTCAATAAATTTGGAAGATAAAGCTGCTTGGCCAATCAAATAGAAGAGATTCATGTTTGTGTGCATGCCAAGGAAAAGTAAGTCAAAAGGAAAGTGAAAATTATTGAACTATATCATTAATGTCATATGTGGACACAATTTTGATGAAGATAATTTTTAAAATGGCACATCGACAGAGGACTGACAGAAGATGGATTCAGGAGAGAATGGAAGGAGGGTATCATTGTTGATCTCAGATGGATCTTGGCCAAATGCAGAGAATATCAGAAACATTGTCATTTGTGCTCTACTAACTATGCAAAAGCACAGAACACAAATTATAGAGAACATTGCAAAAATGGGAATTCCAGAACAATTAATGGTGTTCCTTTGGAACCTGTACATGGATCAAGGAGTGACTGTTTGAAAAGATTAAGATGATAATGTGTGATTTTAAACTGGAAAAGGTGTGTGGCAGGGTCGTATCCTTGTACTTTCCTCATTTAGCCTGTATGCCAAAAATTATTCAGAGAAGCTGGACTATATGAAGCACAAGGCTGGGAGGAACACTCACTACCATCTGTGTTATGCAGATGACACAAGCTCGCTTACTGAGAATGATGACCGGAAGCACTGGCTGATGAACGTCAAAGCCTATATGGCCTTCAGTATGGATTGCACCTGCAATGAACAAAGTGCAAATCTTCACAAGTGGACTGAGAGACAGCATCATGATAGATCGGAACCTGACATTGTCAACCCGTTCATTCTACTTGGACCCACAATCAATTTCCATGGAAGCAGCGGTTAAGAAGTCAAGTATTGAAGAACATCTCCTTAAAGTTTTAAAAAGCAAAGAGGTTGCTGTGATGACTAAGGTTCACCTGGCCCAAGCCATGGTCTTTTTAGTGAAAGAGGAAGAGGGAAGAATCTGGGCATTTAAATCATGGAATTGGTAAAGAATAATGAATATACCTCAGACTGGAAAGGAAGGAAGGAGGGGATGGAGGGAGGGAAGGAGGAAGAAAGAAAGAAAGAAAGAGAAAGAAAACCTATCAGTCTTAGAAGAAATACAAGTGGAATGCTTCTTAGAACTGAGGTTGGCAAAAACTGCTTCTCTAACCTTGGACATGTTATCAGGAAAGACATTTGCTAGAAAAGGAAACCATGTTTGGTGGAGTCAATGAAAATGAGGGACATAATTACCACAGCAATGCATTCAAATATAAACCTTTGACCATAATGATAATACCTTTCCAGGCATCATCTTGCTCTCTTATACATAAAATTGAGTCACTGAGAGTCAATGAGGACGCATAGTGACCCTGTAGGACAGGGTAGAACTGCTTCCTGTGAATTTCTGAGACGCCAACTCTTTATGGGAGTAAAAAGCCCCATGTTTCTCCTGAGGAGCAACTGATAGTTTTGAACTGCAAACCTTGAAGATCCCAGCCCCATTGAGTAACCATTATGCTACCAGGTCATGGTTTGAGGTCTGTCATTAATTTGGTTGTGATAGGTAGGACTATTGTGCCAACCTGGCCAATAAGAACACGTGGGATTAATCAGGTCACAATTTGATTGGAGGGCAAAGAGATAAATGGCTGTGCAAGGCATACCCCCTCTTCTTGTTCCTTGGTGATCTGAGCATGTTGGAGCATGGGTGCTGCTGCTGTAGGTAGTTCTCTGCCTCAACCTGTGAGCTGCACTACCTGTGGGCCAGGCCAACTCATGGATCGTGTTGCTAGAGCTTGAGGCTCCTTCAAGCCCTGCTTTGCCATGTTGCTGGTGCATATATCGCTTGAGCTTGAGGCTGGTGGAATCTGCCGCCTTGCATCATTTGTGTGTGACATTCCATCTGGGCCTGCTTTACCAAGGTCCCGAGCTACTGACTGTTGGTGGCCCATCCTGCTGCCTACTGCCTGTGGGCAGACTCTGCTTGCCTTGCCCTTGCCTTGCCTTGAAGGACTCTGCTGTCTGATTCCTTGACCTTGGACCTGTTAGCCCATGTGAGTTGAAGGAATTATAGTATATTATATTAACTGTTTCGTGGAAGTGAGTTGAACTGAACCCTCTGTACTGCTGTGTGGACTAATTAGCTGTTATATTCCTCTCACTGTATAAACCAAAATCATAAGTGTCCTGGTTTCATTTCACTAGAGAACCCTGCCTAACACGTTGGTTGTATAAGGTCACCATACTTATTCAATCTGTATGCTGAGCACATAATCAGAGAAGTTGCATTATACGAAGAAGAATGCAATATCAGGAGGAATGCAGAATGCAGGATTGGAAGAAGAAAAGGTAACACCTGTGATAGGCAGATGACACAATCTTGCTTTCTTATTAACACTTTATTAAACAAGATGACACAATCTTGTTTTCTGAAAGTGAAGAGAATTTGTCGATGAAGGTCAAGGATTGCACCTTCAGTCAGATTGCAGCCTTGCAGAATTATGGCCAAAATTACAACTCAGTGTCAAGAAGACCAAAGTCCTTACAACGGGACCAATAGGTGACATCATGATGAATAGAGAAAAGGCTGAAGTTTTCAAGGATTTTGTCTTGTCTGGATCCACAATCAATGCTCATGGAATATAAGTTTTGTGTGAAGATGTTTAAATTTCTCTCAATTATATACCTGGTAATGGGATTACTTGGTAATATACTAACTCTATGTTCAACATTTTAAGAAATTATTTTCCAATGTGGCTACATTCATTTACAGTCTTACCAGCAATATACGAGGATTCTAGTTTTTCCAGATCTTCACCAACACTTAGAACTGTCTGTATTTTTTATCTCGGCCATCCTACTGGGTGTGAAATGATACCTCCTTGCGGTTTTGAGTAACACTTCTGATATCTAATGATGTTCACCACCTTTTAAGAGTCTTCTCTGGGGAAATGGTTACTTAAACTCTTTTCCCATTTTTAAGGATTTTCTATCATTTTATTTATTTATTTTAAAAATCATTTTATTGGGGGCTCGTACAACTCTTATCTCAATCCATACATCCATCCATTGTGTGAAGCACATATCATTTTATTTTTGAAGTACAAGATATGCCATGTTCTGGGCATTGCACATGAAGAGCATTTAAATGCATTTTGCTGAGTAACAGAAGAAAGACCCCAAAGGCTGCACTGAGTATGATTCTATTAATATCATATTCAGTAAGCGGTAAAAGTATAGGGACACAAAACCCCTGATTGTCGGGTTGGCTACAAAAGACAGTGCAAAGGAAATCTTGAGGTAATAAACTGTTTTATATGGTACTGTTGTGACAGATACATGACTCTAACCATTTGTGAAGACCCACAGAATGGTATGTAACAATGAGAAATATTTACACTATGAAAAAAATAGCAATAAAGATTCTGAGAGAACCCAAGGTGTGGATGCCAGCGGTGACAAAGAATCACAATTGTATTTGCTCTCGAGAGGCAGACGGTGACCCGTATCACGTTGGAAACAGTGCTGTAATTAACTATTCTAAGTCTAAAGATCAAAACAAAACAGAGTATATAAAAACACTCCACTGGTAAATTTGCTTCTCATTTCACGTGAATAAGCTTTGCTTATTTTTTCCTACCCCTTGTCACCTTTCAGTCCTTTATCTCGTCGCTTTAAAATGCCTAATGCAAACTGGTTAAGAGGGTCTAATCATTTCCCTTTGGATTCCCACCTTAAGCACCGACTCAGCAGTAATAAGTTTCAACGAGATAGTCCTGTATACTTCCTATCTGGCTTCCCAACTTTTCCACACTATGACACACCTGGAAAACGGCAATGTTTGTAGGAAGCAGGGATATAGACAGAACTGCCCTAGTCTCACCTGGCTGCCTCAGGGCTGAGTGTCTTCACACACCTACAGTCTGCATCATTTGTCCTAGCACCACATGGGAAATCCTATGCCGAATGGTCCTTCTAACAAAAGTGCTCAAACGCATGCCAGACAGTTGAAAGGCTACAATTTGTGTGCATTCAAAATTGAATTTCTGTTATTTTTTTTCCTGCAAAAGATACTCACTTAAATAGGGAAGAATTCCTGACTTGTCTCATTAGCGTCATGTCTTAAACAACTAATCTGGTGTTTGAAGTAATTTCAACCAACCTTACCTTTTCTTTCATTTTTTCCACCTTCTGTTTGAGCTGGGGCACTACATTGTTGGGTGGCAAGCCTTTTTCCAATTGAGCCACAAACTTAGCATATTTAGTAACCTGGGAGTTTAGCATTTCTGGATCCAAGGAGTCAAATTTGGACTATGAAAATTTGAAGGAAAAAAATGTAAGACATGGAATAAAAGGTATGCTTGAGTTGGCTATAATAATTTAGTTTAGTCAGATATTTTTTTGTTGACAAATTATTACTCCAAGTTATTGCTAGACTTTTGGAAATGAAATGAGTCAGCTTACATGCTTTTCGTGGTCCCTGTCTCCACATTATCGAATGTAATGTTGCACTCCCGGTAGTTGCTCCCTGAGGACCAACACACTGAAAGTCTCCCAAGGACACATCTAATTTTTACTCTCCAATGTTCCCATTGAGTCGATGTGTATTCATAATGACCCTATAGGACAGGGCAGAACTGTCCCACTGGGTGTCTGGGACTGTGAGTCTTCCTGAGAGTAGAAAGCATCATCTTTCTCCATGGAGCAGCTGGTGATTTTGAATTGCTGACCTTGTGGTTACCAACCCAACGTCTAACCCCTATACTCCACCAGGGCTCCCAAATTTTTTACTGTAGCTTTGCAAAAATTTCTTTTTTTTTTTTTCTAATTAAATCATTTTATTAGGGGCTCATACAACTCTTATCACAATCCACACATACATCCATTGTGTCAATCACATTTGTACATTGTTTTCCCTCATCATTCTCAAAACATTTGCTTTCTACTTGAGCCTCTGGTATCCTCTCCTCTTTTTCTTCTTCTTTTTAAAAAAAATCATTTTATTAGGGGCTCATACAACTCTTATCACAATCCATACATACATCAATTGTGTAAAGTACATTTGTACATTCATTGCCCTCATCGTTCTCAAAACACCCACTCTCCACCCAAGCTCCTGGCATCAGGTTCTCATTTTCCCCTCCCTCCCCGCTCCCCTGTCCCTCATGAACTGTTGATGATTTATAAATTATTATTTTGTCATATCTTGCCCTGTCCGATGTCTCCCTTCACCAACTTTTCTGTTGTCCGTCCCCCAGGGAGGAGGTTAGATGTAGATCCTTATAATCAGTTCCCCCTTTCCAACCCACCCTCCCTCTACCCTCCCAGTATCGCCACTCACACCACTGGTCCTGAAGGGATCATCCGCCCTGGATTCCCTGTGTTTCCGGTTCCTATCTGTGCCAGTGTACATCCTCTGGTCTAGCCAGACTTGCAAGGTAGAATTGAGATCATGATAGTAGGAGGCTGGGGGGGTGGGGGTGGGGTGGGAGGGAGGAAGCATTTAAGAACTAGAGGAAAGTTGTATTTTTCGTTGTTGCTACATCGCACCCTGACTAGCTCGTCTCCTCCGCAATACAGCTAGGCAAAAATTTCTAATCAAGTAGTTGCCTTTTATTTGATTAGGCACAGCTTTAATACATGTGGTTTTAAAAGATGTCTTTCTAACACACACACACACATTTTAAGTGTATTTAACAATTATATGAATGTGTGTTGCTGTTAGTTGCAAGCAAATCTGTTTCAATGCACGGTCAACCCCATGCGTTACAGAGCAGAACTGTTCCATTGTGTGTTCAACACTGAGACCTTTGGGAAACAGGCCTATCTTCCAAGGTTGTCTATAGGTGAGTTCAAGCCACCAAGCTTTTAATCTATAAGTGCTAGGTGCACATATATATTGACTTGTAAATAGTCACGTTGACTCAGAGATGAAAGAAAATTGTAAACCTTAAAATTTCACAAATGGAATAGTTCTGCAATCCTCAAGAATACTTGGGTTCTTCAGGACAGCACTGTGTTGAGAAACCACGAAGCTGTGGAATGCCATGTGATGAGGCCCTCGGAGGCTGCTGCCTTCCTGTAGCCTTTTCGAGCAGAGAACTGGTGAGCCTGCCTCACACCCTCTGTTCTGCAGCCAGCACTGACGCAGGACTGTCGTGCACATCACTGAGAAGTTGATCATCATTCCCATAATATTATAGCATAGCATATTTTATTGCGATGAAGCAGATACCAATTTTTGTTAAAAATTACAATTTACATTGCTAGGATTTCACTTGTAGTGCAAACCTGATTTAAGAATAAAGGTCCTTTTCCTACCTCTAACCATTCTTGTTGAATTTTATCCCATTCAGAGTAAGAATCCCAGAGCAATACTTTGAGCTTCAATTCAGCACTAACTTCTTCCAAGTCATCGAACTTGGACACCTCTACCTTTAAAAATATAATAAGAAATACACATTACTTCATTTTCAGATATAAAGATCTTATAGTAGCCTATTAATATTTCTTCATCAGGGACTGCTTAGCAGAAAATCCATCTTAAATGGAGATAGAAACAAATACAAACAAACGTAAATAATTTCTTTTTTGAGTGAAAAATACAACTCCTTATTTTAATAACTTGAATAGTCTCTGAAGATATCGGATGGCAATTCAACTTCAAGTTGGCTCATACACACTTTTTATGGAAACCAGAAGTCTTCAGAGGTCTGACCTTTTGGGGGAAAACGTAAGTCTTCATAGGCAATTTCCTTTAGGGCCTGTGCACTTAAATGATAGACATGCGTGAAGAGGTTGATGTGGTCGCTGGTGGTGATGATGGGGCTAGAGAGGGGGAGAATGGAGAAGACCGTCTGATCCTTACTTCTTCCTAAACCCACAGACTGTATCTGAAGACCGTGGTGAGAAAGGCTGTAATCTAAAGAAGCTATGTTTCACAGACTGCCTTAGCTGGGAGGTGAGGAAACGTCTAGGAGGTTTGCTGTCCAGAAATTATGAGCCCTGTGATACTTTCGGGTTTTGACAGAAGACATTTAGCCCTCAGTCCTCTTTCTAGAATTATATATGGCTTCATGGAATCTAGATTACGTAGGCTTCCACGCCTCTCCCCCAAATGGTGGGAGCTGCAGAAGGAAGCTTGGATCAGAGGCAATCATGAGAGAAGAATCAGTCAAGTGCAGACATGGCGTGTGAGAGTGAGGGCAAAAGATGTTTTCTGTTGCAGGTTCTGCCAGAAGCAGTAAGTCCATAGAGTTCCCTCTGTTCGTGGTAACTGTTATCAAGCAAGTTTTCCTCCACCCCTTCCTAGTGCCTATCTTCCTATCTTGTAAGTCAGTTAACTCAACCTGGGAACAGTTCGCGCCTGAGTCTTTCACACACAACCTCCTATGTCAAGTGTTGTGTCACTGCACCACCTAGTGCAAAGGTCACTGTTTTTCAGATTTCGCTTCTAGGTCCTGAGATTTCAAATGGACAGCTCCTCTGAGCACTCTGGGCCAATTCATCTGAGGAAGAGATAGGTACTTCACAGGCCAAATCCTGCCACAGTACTCTGATACTTTGGGGGAAATTACTATCTCCCTCGTTGTTGGTGGCTTTGACTCTAGGAATATTTTCTTTTCTTCCTAGTCTCTAGCAACGGTCCAGGCATCGATACCAACTGTCTCTCCATTTTCAGAAGACACATCTTTCAGTACGTTCCACCTACCCTTTAGACCAAACTACTGCCTGGCTTGGCTAAAAGGCCTTCCTTCATCAAATTAAAACATCCAACTGGTCAAACCATATGCTACTCATAGATTCATAACACACACACACACACAAGAATCCAAAGAAGTTTTAACCTTACACATCAGGAAAAAAAGGGTGGGAGGAGCTTTACTTAATTGACCACATTTGATCATTCACATGCATTTTAACATTGAGACTAAAATGTCCAGTCTGAGAGTTTTCAACAAATCTCAATCACCTTTAAACAAGAAATAGACACTAATCTTCAAAGACCTGAGAAGCAGGGGACATATCATATGTTACAGATGAGCACAGTGACTAGCAACACCTAAGTGTCCAACACTGAATGTAGATAGTCATGATGCTGAAAGTGCTTGTCCATGAATTTCACTTTCTATGGACACGTATTAAAAACAGATGTGGAGCGCTATCATTACCTTAAAATTCTTCTGATAGGATTTGAATTGAAATGCACGTTTTTGAAGATCTTCTAGAACTAATTGCAGGTCATTCAACAAGACCTTTATTTTGGATTGGTCAGCATTTATATCCAAAATCTGTGGATCCTGTAAAAATAAGATGGTTTCTTAATATACAATTATTCTTGGATATAAAACACTCTTTTATACATAAAACAAGATGGTTTGAGGTTAGTAATTTTGATGTAGACCAGTTATATTAAATGAATGAACCATGCCAGGCATATATTTTTTCCAAATTATATTTTCACTCCCTCTCTCTCTCTCTTTAAGTTAACACATTTGCCTTTCCTGAATTTGAAAGCGAAACAGGCCATAAAAGTACAGAAATGTATTAAAAAGTTGGCATGAGAATAGCAATATTTTTAAAGAATCAATGGGACCTAATATATTTTCTCTCACCTCTTTGCATTTCCTACATTTCTTCGACCACCATGTCTTCAGGGAAGAAGAGGTATTAGGAAAGAGAAGGGAAAAGAGATCGTATGAAAACAGTTCCACTTTATAGAAAGGGGGCATGGAAAGAAGCTTTCTGAATTCTAAGAGGGAAGAAGAGGAAAAAAGGAAGAATAAATGGCTACACATCACAGGTTGTCGGGAACACTTGTTGGGATTCAAATATTGGTCAATGAAAAGGGAACAGTTCGGGAGGAAATCAGAAACACCTAATCAGCTATGGGGGAATCTGAGATGACCGTAGACATAGCCTGGGGAACCCACGTATTCCAGCTGTGGTGCAGCATGGCCCTGCATTCAAAATGGCAACATGCTCTGAAGATTCAGCAAATAGGAACTGCTGAGAGAATGCGTGTGTGTGTGTCCACAAGCGGTCTGGTCAGGATCAGAAAGGCCTAGACCACATGCTACGTAACTGGCAGGAATAATGGGTTGTAGGAGGGCAGCAACAGGGCTAGCGTGGTGCCTACATAACCGGGCAGGACCCTAAGTGAACAACTGGCAAAGGCCCCCAAGGCAGAGCAGCCAAACTGAACTGGAAGCTGCTCTGGGCTTGGGGTTCACATGAGCACCACATGTGCCCCATTTTCTCCACTAGGAAGCGATGCAAGCTACCTTTTATGGGCAGAAGGCGCATGTGGAGCTGAGGACAAAGGCAGCGAGGTCTCTTAAAGACAAAGAAATGCCCAAGAGGAAGGTTAGATTTTGAACTGAATTAAAATCTATCCAAGAAAGTCCGGGTTGGAGTAGATCAGACATTTTTATGACTTTCCTGAAATGGATTGAGAATCATTAACTGTCAATTTTATGTTCTTATCTGTTTCTTCCCTCATCAGCAGGAGGGGGGAGTCTTAACAGCAAGATGATATCACTGATGAAAAAAAGAAAGTTTCAATTCTTTGCCAATTCGAACGTCTGCCATTGAGTTGATTATGACTCAGAGGACAGAGAAGAATTTTTCCTTAGGGTTTCTGAAACTGATTATCTTCACGGGAGCAGAGAACTCACCTTTCTTTTACATAACAGCTGGTGACCTTGAACCATTGGCTTTGTGGTTAGCAGTAAAATGCCACCATGGCTCCTGTCAATGGGCTAGGATGGTAGTGAATTCGTTGCAGCTCTTTGATAGAAGCCATAGCTGGTCCACAGGGCAGGGAGGAGTTCTGCCGTGATTTTTGTGTATGTGCATCTGGCTCTTTAAAAAGCATTACGCATAGAGAACATGCTGGCACATTTTGCTTTCTTTAGTGATTTGTCTGTACACACATTTAAATTATTTATGCTTTTAAACAGCGTGCTTTTTATCTAAGACAGTCAATAGTACCCACGAATCATACTAGCGAGTTGTAAAAACATTCAGGTTGAAATAGTGACTGTAAGCCAGGTGGAACTGTATTCAGTAGGATGGGTGTGCTTTACTGGCAGTACTCTGGAGTCTCTAGGAGACGTTCAAAGGTATTTCCATGAGCTTTTCAAAGAAATCGCTACTGGGTCAGAATGAATTCATAAAAATGAAAGCTATATATATATGCTCCTTCCGTGGTATATATATATATGCTCCTTCCGCGGTTTAATGAAAAACCGACAGTAAAACTTTTCACAGGCATTTTTGGGGTGTTGGGGTGAAAGTCCTGCTTTAGCGTACCTGTGCTTGCAGCTTGATTTCATTTACTTCATTGTTTAGTTCTTCCAGGTCTTTACCCAAATGCACACAGAACTGCTTGATGCTAGAATCTCTATCACCCACGGATTTGTCGATGGCATTCCGAACAGCCACGATGGATGGCTTCATTGTCGCAAAAACAGCGAAGTCTTCGGGAGGGGTGGGGACCTGATACTGCTCAATCAGCCTGTACATTTGCATCACCGTGTCCGCCTCCTCCTCCAGGCTTTCAATCTAGAGAGAGACCGGGGTTGCTCGTGAAAAGCAGCACAGCCCTAGGAGGTCCTTTCAGGCTGCTTGTTTGTTTTTTAAACCAGAGAAGGCTGCTGCACCCCATCTCCCTAAGAAAACACAAGCATCATTTTGGACTCCTCTTGCTATCCCCTCATTAGTTATCCACTAAATCCTTTAAGTATTCCCCACATCTCTAGACTCCGGTTCCTCCCTCCCACCCGGACAAGGCTGCTTTAATTACAATCCATCAGCTCTCCACTAAATGCTCTTTCTCCATAGCATCCCATGTCCCCGGTCCTGTTGCCTTGGGTTGGTGCACATAATTTTTCCTCTCCACTGAATGTCTGCTCAAATGTTCAGATGTTCCTTACAGAATGACTGGAATAGAAAGGGGCTACAAAATTTACTGGGAAAATGGAATGCAAAGATAATGGAATTTTCCCACAAAGCTTGTAAAGCCTTTGGTGACCCATAGGCAAGGTTCACACAAATGTCCTAGTCCCACAATACCTTGATTGCTATATTTATCACATTATAATGATGGTTTGCCTTTATGCTAGGTTTTGAGCTCCTTATAAACAGATTTACGTATTACCACAATTGCTGCCCCCTGCTTAGTAGATGCTCATTAAGTTTGTTGAATAAATGGAGGAAATTCTAAAATAAGCTGCTCGTATGTGCAGAGCATCTCTTTAGGGAAGCTGCTTCCTCAACAAAAACCCAGCACTGCCAAGAAATACCTCTTGGGATACAGACTGGGATTCTGAAAGGCACAGGACTTCCTTGTTCTGGAACCACAAGGTGACAGCAGTCTACCCATCATGGCTAGTGCATAAAACATGATCTTACTGTCCTGTCATAGCTTACAGGACAGGAGGGGATACCCGAATCTATTTACTAGGCATTTAGAATTGACACTGGTAGTTGGCTAGATTTGCAATGTATAACTTGGAAGTTGCCGGTGGCCACGTTGCTGTTGTTGATGAAGATTAAGAAACAGTTGTCTGCACAAGGAAAAGATAAGAGTAAAGCAGAGAGGTGGGGAGGAGCAGAAGAGGGAGCTACAGTGGACTACGTGGTTTACTCGGATCCCATCCTAGAAAACATCCTAGATGTTAGAGTAGGACCCTCCCTTTGTCTCAAGCTAACTAAAGTGAGTTTTTGTGCTTGTCCAACAAGGCTTGTGGTGGTGGTTAGGTGCGATCAAGTGGTTTTGATCACTTAAGCAAACTCTGTATCTTGAGCAACATCACCTGTCGGAGTCCTTGTTCCCTCATCTGAAGGATGCGGATACATTTTTATCCACTCTTTTCAAGGTTGTGTAAGGATTGAAAATGTCATGCACATAAATTTTTCCTCTAACTCCCGACTTGTAATACATTTAATAAATGTTAGCTGCTATTGCAATGTGAGACAGGGTATCTACTAACTTTGTTTGAAACTGTTTCTGACATTTTGGCAGCCACTTCCTGATTTCCAGTCCCTCCTCTTTCTTGCCTTATCTAATATAACGTGAAAATTTTAGTTCGTTAGCCTCGCCAACTCACCCTTTCCTGAATTTCATCCAGAAATATCAAGCTGTTAACATATTCTATGGTGATACTTGGAACAAACTCAAGTTTATACTCTGCATCTTGTGCCTCAGAGATAATGGCATCCACTTTTTTCTTGCTTTGAAGAGGAAGCATAAAATTTAGCACCTAGTAAAGGAAAAGAGAATGTGATTAATAAATGAGTGAATTTTCCCCTTTTGTTGTATATTTGATATACATCCTCACTCGACATTTGTTAAATCAGTAGGCATTGGAAACAACAATGATTTTCTTTCTCTCTCATTAAATCACTGTCAGCATATCATTGGATTGGTAGCACAAAATGGATAGGTTACACAGCTTATTGAAAGTTTTCCTACAAGGATTGATCTCCTGTAAGTACTCTTTCTGATTGTTGTACTCTGTTGATGCACATTGTGTTGGCCTCCACAGAATTAATTCCATTCCTTCCTTTATGGAGGGACATTGACCTTGATTTCTTTCAGAAATGAGCATGGGGTCTGACTGATATCTAGGCAACTACAGCTATGGCTTCCTCATGCAGTGGCAGAACGAGAAGGGGGCAGGGGTATGGGTCACACCAAGTGACACTGTCAGACCTTCAGGTTGTCTGTAAAATGTATTGTTTCAACAGAAATTTATTATTTTTGCAAAATATCCCTGTGGTTATATTAATAGTTATAATAATAAAGTCAAGCTTACATAAATCAATATGTATTCAAGACTAAAACCTTATGCCAATTTACTTTTTGAACCATGTAGCACCCTACTAGAAGCCCTGGTGATGTACTGGGCTCCTAAGCACAAGGTAGGCCAGTCAAAACCACCAGATGCTCTGCAGGAGAAAGATAGGGCTTTCTACTTCCATAAAGAGTTATGGTCTTGGCAAGCCAGTCAGGGAGCGATGTAGCAATGATGAAAAATACAACTTTCCTCTAGTTCTTAAATGCTTCCTCCCCACCCCCACTATCATGATCCGGATTCCACCTTGCAAGTCTGGCTAGACCAGAGGATGTACATTGGTACAGATAGGAACTGGAAACACAGGGAATCCAGGGCAGATGATCCCTTCAGGACCAGTGGTGTGAGTGGCGAAACAGGGAGGGTAGAGGGAGAATGGGTTGGAAAGAGGGAACCAATTACAAGGAACTATATGTGACCTCCTCCCTGGGGGACGGACAACAGAAAAGTGGGTGAAGGGAGACATCAGACAGGGCAAGATATGACAAAATAATAATTTATAAATTATCAAGGGCTCATGAGGGAGAGGGGAGTGGGGAGGGAGGGGAAAAATGGGGACCTAATGCCGGGGGCTTAAGTGGAGAGGAAATGTTTTGAGAATGATGAGGGCAATGAATGTACAAATGCTCTTTACACAATTGATATGTGTATGGATTGTGATAAGAGTTGTATGAGCCCCTAATAAAATGATTTAAAAAAAAGAGTTATGGTCTTGGAAACCTGAGGGGAAGTTCTACCCTGTCCCACAGGGACAATTCTACCCTGTCTCACAGGGTTGCTATGAGTCAGCATTGACTCGTAGCAGTGAGATGGCAGTGAAGGCAGCGAGAGTACCCTTCAGCCAGTCAGAACTGTCATTTTTATCCAGTTACAATATTGCTTCAAATCACGTGGTTTTGTCTACAGGGACTACCAAGTATCTACTATTGTTTTTATAATCACTGATTTTTCTCAAAATTTTTGGGTTTTTTAGCTACAATTCTGTAGTAATTAGTATTTGTGAATCTATATTAATAATGTTTTTGAGAATGAAGAAGTTACCAAGGTAAATGAAACAGAAAAATTTTTAAAAGGCTTCTGCTCAGTTACTAATAATATTGTAGCTAACAGTGTTGTAAATAAGTCAATGTAGAAAGACGTTACAAAACAAAGTTATTGGTAGTATTCATATAACCTAATAAATACTACATTTAAGCAGTTTGTTATAGCACACATTATTTTATGATTAATATTGATAATAAACCTTACTAAAGATGCTGTATGGTCTAATATGGGTTCCAGTATGGAAGGGTTGGGTATGTGCTACCATGAGTTACTGCACTGGGTGACACCAATCCCAGTGACATTAGGGATATCATTATCCTTGTGTTCTAAGGTTGATCTCAGTTAATTCAGTTATATAGCTGCCTCAGGCTTCTGTTTAATTCTGAACAGAGTGTATGTTAAGAACTCAAGTATTCCTTTCTTTCACTTTCTGTTCATGATAGAGGCCATAGTTAGCCTAGGGAGGTGCTAGTGTATGAGCCTCTATCAATTTTGTCTCTCGACTCTAAGTTCACTTTTCTTTAAAAAAATAAATTAGTCATTTTATTGGGGGTGGGGGCTCTTACAAATCTTATAGCAGTCCATCATTCAATAGTAGTAAGCACACTTGTGCATATGTTGCCATCAACATTTCCAAAACAATTTCTTTCTACTTGAGCCCTTGGTATCAGCTCCTCTTCTTTTCCCCTCCCTCGCCCTTCTTGGCCTGCTCAGAGCCCTTTAAATATTATTTCTCAGCTGTCAGTAGAGGGCACTGGAAGGATACTGTAGGAGAAAAGGGGTCCCTTTCCTGGATCTTGTGTGTTTCCTTGACAGGGTCCTATAAATCCACAGCCACAGAGGTCAGCAGCATCCTCCTACACCCTGAATTTGGTAGTTTGGTAGCAAAGGACCTCAGTGGGACATGTAGCTGGGAGCAGCTTTCCTAAATACCCTGTTGTTATTAGTGCTATTAAGCTAACTGACTCATGGTGACATTATGTAACAGAATGAGCCATTGCTCAGTCCATCAAAACTGTCATGAATGTTGGCATGTTTGAGTCGATATTTGTTGGTACTATGTTGGTCCATCATGTTGAAGGTTTCCTTTTGCCTTTACTGACCCTAGTAATGTTTTTCCCCCTAAGAACGTACTCTTAGCAAGTAAGTAAAAGTCTTGCCAGCCTTCCTTCTAAAGAACATTCTGGTTGTACTTATTCTAAAACTGACTTGTTCTTTCTTTTGGCAGTGTATGGCATTCCATATTGTTTACCAACACCACAGTTGGGATGCAGCAGTTCTCTGGTCTTCCTTCTTCATCGCCCAGCTTTCACCAGAGGGTGGATCTTCAAGCAAACTGTAATAGTACGTCATCTCAACAGCTTCTCTCTCATCCAGTGAGCCACTCACATTTCCACTCCTACAAGGTCTAGACTTCAGCTGTGCTGGTGGTAGTGGTGTCAGGGGACTCTCCGCAGAGTGTTCTTTCTCTGTCTTAGGGGGAGCAGAAGCATCTTCTAGGATGGTAAGTTTAAAGGTATTATAATTGTTGTCAATTGTTGGTCGACACACCCAACACAGATAGGTTATTCCAAACAAAATGTATTTAAATGTGTCTCTGTGATCAGTGGGTGGCTGCACACAAGTTATCTCAGTAATCCACTTGTTTTGGTAAAAAATAGAATACATTTTGTGCTATGGAGACATTATTTTGAAGTCAGGGATACTAAAAAATAAAATTAAAAAACTCAAATGGACAGCATCTCACATCACTGAAACTTTGCAACAAATTTACGGAAATGCTGCCCAACGTAAAACAAGTTTTTAGATGGATCAAACATTTTAAAGATGGGTGAGTTCTCCGGGAACCCAAGAGGCAAGCGAATTTTGGGAATGATGAGGGCAACAAATGTATAGATGTGCTTTACACAATTGATCTATGTATTGTGATGAATTGTATGAGCCCCAATAAATTGATTAAAAAAAAAAAAAGATGGGTGGGTGACCTCAAAGTTGAGCTAAGAGAGGTAAGATAATCAACCTTGACAAATGAAGAAACTGGCTGAAGGCCCGAAACTGGTGGAAGATGATTAATTACCCATTTCCAATGATGCGATAATGACTGAAATTGGAATCGCACATGGTTTGGCATTTTTAATTCTGAGCAAACATCTTGACCTGGGCAAACTTTCAGCTCAAAAAGGTTTCAGCCGAAAGGGTTGTGGGGAGATCAGCTTGCTTAAGAGGCTGAGTTTTCCATTGTCTTTTGAGGAAGCTTAAAGCAAACAAAGAGGGTGTTATTGGATGAATGAGACCTGGGAATGAGTTGTAGGGTTGCCAGTATGTTCCGGAGAGGAAGGTCCAATCACACCGTGGCTTCCAAGGGCTTCTATTGGACAAGTTAAGTTTAAGGCAGGGAGACCAGCTGAGAAGATTATGGTAAATGTGTGCATAGGTTTTTTGATTCCAAAGGGGTAATCTTGATAGATTTTCTCATAGGACACAGGACAATTTCAGGGGCTTATTACAAGGGAGTTTTAAGAAAATTGAAAGCTGCATTGGTTTGAGGAAAAGGCCAGGAAACAGCCCCAAGGCATTATTTTGTTTTCTCCATCATGACAACGCACCTGCCATTCTTCAGGGACAGCGAGAGCTGTCTTCCAAATACTTTGTTGGGAAGCCTTACTGTGTCCACCCTTGAGCCCTGATCTTGCCCCTGTAGACTTTTGTACCCTTTGCTCAAAAAACATTGAAAAGGAACATGATATGGATTTCCTGAGGATACCAAAACTGCCATACTGACATCATGTAACTCGTAGAGGTGGGAACACTGTCTTTGGAAAGGAATAGACCAGAAGTGTGTAGACTTAGATGTAAGATCTATAGAGACAAAATAGCTTCACACTCTGATGTTTTTGTTTAATAAAGGTTTCCTGTGGTTTGTGGCAATAAGTTTTGACTTATTCTCACACCTGATAATTCTGTATTCTTTAAAGTTCTCTTGACTATTTATTAGTCAATCTCTACTCCAACCTTCCATTACCATGAACAATTCTTTATATGTATTAAATGTTCCTTCTTTACATTAATATCTTTTTGTTTCTTATTTGACCCAGACTAATACAGTGGAGTGATGCGGAGTTATAAAGCAAAACATATTTCTTACTGCAATTGCAATTGTAAAAACACTACTCTGATTACACCAGATATATTGTAGAGCTCAAAATGTTCATGGAAATGGAATTGAATTTAGTCCAGCCATATGTGTGGTTGTTTTTTCTTTTTAACCAACAAATAAACAAAACTTCAGAAGAAAGCTTAATTCTAGACTTCCAGCAAGAGAATGGAGACTATCAGTGAACTTTGTGGGCTTTTCGCAGTGCTCTTCCTTCTGTCATCTACACGAGGGTCAGCACACATTTTCTGCAAACAGTCAGTATATATTTTTACTTTGCGGACTACACAGTTTCAACCACAGATATATGACGGAGTTCCATTCCAACAATTCTGTCAACAGTCAGTTCTGAAATAAATTAAGGAACCCTTTTTTCCCCCAAGACAATAATGTCTTTCACTACCAATACGTTCATAAATTTGATCTTTGAATATCTGCAAGGGAATAGCTGAAAATGATAACTTCAGCAAATTTCACACCGCAACATTGTGTGTAGTGCATATTATTCATGATAAAATGTAAACACACACAAAGATAGCTGTCAATATGGTTTGTCAGAACTCAAATATGTCGGGACTCAAATACTACCTGCTCAACTATGCTCAGGTAGTGAGAAGTCAGGCATAGACAATATATATATACAAAATCACAGTAAATCTATGTAGTCAAAAGTAAAATGGTAACTGGGCAGGGGAAGGGTGGGGGGGATGTAAAACAGCCTGGATTATACCTGTGGACAACAGTGGACTGAGCCATGCTCTATGCAGCTGCCTCTCTGAAAGTATCTGAGAAAAATGTGTCCTTTGCTTAAGATAGACCTAAAAGTTATTGAAGAACCAACACAAATTCCTCTAGTTCTAAAATTCACCAAAACACAATAAAAAATTTCATGGACCATGTTAGGAAATGATCTTTTAAACTTTATCTCAGCATCTAGAATTAACCAGCATTCCCAAGGTCCAGATCAGATGTAGTTAAGTGTCCCAAATCTCACTGGGATCCTGAGATGTTTCACTGGGCACTCTTTTGCAGAAAGCCTTGAAATATCCCAACAAAGGATAAAGCAATGGGAATAAGAGACTAATCTGAGTCCTTCATCCCCTCTCTTTCCTCAACTGAGAGTTTACTACACTGGAAGTGAAAAGAATAATGTCGGATTCTCCTCCACCACCTAGAAATTAAGGGTAGCCAGGGGTCTTATGCTTATTTTTAATATTTTTAATACCAGAACTATTTTTTGTAGTTAAAAAATCATCAAGCAATTTAAAAACATGTTATGAAATTCTCCCTAGTTCATACTTACCTCCAAGCATCGCAAAGGTGATGGAATTAATTTTTCCTTTAGCAGCTTTGTGTCAATGAGCAGCAATCCTACATTTCTGGTGGGCTTTAGAGCTACTGCATCCTTATGCTGTTTGTGATATTTTTCCAGTTGTTCACTAAAGAATTTGACATCTACATAATTTATATAAGTCATAAAATGCATTTCATTAGATTTTCAAGGGTCATTACAAAAACTACTGAAAGTCATTACATCAGTAGAGTAGTACAGTGTCACATGTATTTATAATGTACTGGTGGTTTAGTGGTTACAGTGGGCTGCGACCCACGTGGTAGGCAGTTCAAACCCCTCAGCAGGTCCAAAGGAGAAAAACTGAGCTTTCTACTCCCATAAATGGTTACAGTCTTGGAAACCCCTGGGGGATCACTATCAATCAGCATTGACTCAGTGGCAGTGAGCTTGCTTTTGGAGTTTCATGGGTAGAGTACTTTGTATAACTTTAAAGTGTTAATTCGAGTCTTCCAGGAAGATGGCGACTTCCGGGAAGATGGTGATGGAGTGACACATACCAGAGGGACTCCGCAGAATCCTGCCCAGTAAAGTTGCTTAGAGGGAAATTCAACACAGCTGGAACGCAGGAGGAGCATCATAAAGTTAAGTAGGCACAGACCCAAGGGCTTTTGGCTTACCTCAGTGGAAGCCAGCTGGGGCTTGACCTTGGCACCGCCACTGTCTCTGCTGGAGCCAGGACCATTTGGAGCCCATAGGGGGGCTTGGTCTCAACACAGCCACAGCTTGCCACCGCCGCCTCGGGGCAGGGACTAAAGCCTTGCAGCTCCATGGGCAGGGATTGGGACTCAGCTACATTTTTGCTTTTGTTTCCCTCTCTTCTCTAGATCCCCACACAGTCTAAATGGTCTTACTTAAAAAATATTTTCTCCTCCTTTGTATCTTTCCTGTTCTCTCACACTCCACTGCTGACCTCCAGACCACTCCCCTTAGCCTAGGAAATTTATGCCTGAGCCACACCTAGGTGAGCTCCACCATGTGTAGCTAGCCCAAGGCTGGGGAAAGCCCTGCTTTCCCTCCAGAGGATACTCTGCCCAACTTCTCCACGGGGAATTCATGCCTGTGTACCTGGGGCCATAAGGCAGCTGGGCAAACACTCATCAACTTTCCAAGCTGTTGCAGGAACCGCTGCCAAACCTCCGCAACACCAAAGCAGGCAACCCACCAGCCTTCTTGGGCACTCCCCTGAGAGGGAAGCCACAGGAGGATAAAGTGGCAGTTAATTCTATAGTGAAATTAGCTGTAGGCAGCTTGAAGAAGCATTCCTACAAGTCTCTCAGAGAGAGCCAGTGCTCTTCCACTCCTGGAAAACAGCACCTGGCTCCTCTAAAACAACGCAATGCAAACAGCCATCAGCCCCTATGACCTCAACGAAAAAACAGGAGAAACAAAAGGCAATAGCGGAAGAAGTCCCGAACACAACGACATGCATAGAAGAAGTAGACATTGAACTGCCACAGAAAGAAATTTTCAGAAAGCTGCTTGAAGTCATAGAGGATATGAGGGAAACAATACAGAAAAAGGATGAAATTATAGAGGAGATAAAGGGCATAAACCAAAGGGAAATACAGGAGCTTAGGGAGGAGAGAACAAAAACAAGTAGCAGAAACACGGACCTCGAGAATTGACTGGAGGAAGCAGAGAACCACATCTGTGACTTGAAGGACAGCCAAGCAGACTTCAACAAACGCAAACAAAAATCTAATAAGATCAGCAGAGAATTTGAAGAAAAGCTAAGAGCTATGTCTGATGCTATGAAGTGGAACAAGATTAGAATTATTGGTTTACCAGAAGAAGACACAACAAAGAAGTCATCTGCAACAACAGTGAGAAAATTCTTGAAGGAAAACTTCTCCAGCTTAATGAATGAAAACCAGGCAACCATTCAGGAGGCTGAAAGAACACTAACTAGAGTGAATCCCATGAGGATGTCACCAAGGTATATAATAGTTAAACTATCCAACTTTGAGGAAAAGGAGAAAATCTTGAGAGAAGCTAGGGAAAAATAAGCAACCACATATAAAGTTTCCCAAATAAGAATTTGCTCAGACCTATCAGTAGAAACTATGAAGAGGAGGAGAGAGTGGAGTAACATATTCCAAAAATTGAAGGAAAACAATGCAAACCCAAGAATACTCTACCCAGCCAAATTATCGATCAAGATAGATGGAGAAGTAAGAGTCTTCCCAGACAAGGAAAAACTCAAAGAATAAGTTAGAAGAAACCCAGTTCTACAAAAGAACCTTTCCAACCCAGTATGGGAAGAAGAACAACACTCACCAAGCATAAATAAGAGACTGACACACAAAACAACCTCACCCAAAGGGCGACAAAGAGAAAACAGACCCCAAGATAGCATTGACTTAAGGATGGGAAGAACTCAAGAATGTTATACACACATGCACAACAGGCTAATGAGAAAGGAAAGTAGGAAAACACCCAACACAAAAGGTATAAAATGACATCACAGAGTACGCAGATGGAGATAATAACCCTGAATATCAATGGCCTGAACTCAGGCATTAAAAGACTGAGACTAGCAGACTTTCTTAGAAAACACAACCCATAAATCTGCCACCTACAGGAGACATATCTCAAGGCTACAGATAAAAATAGTCTGAGAATCAAGGGCTGGAGAAAGGCTTACAAAGCGAAAAACAATTCAAAAAAAAGCAGGGGTTGCAATCCTAATGTCAGATAAAATTGACCTCAAAGTGCAAACCATAAAAAGAGATAAGGAGGGACAGTATATAATGCTCAAGGGAATGGTAGACAAAGAACCACTAAGCATTGTAAACATATATTGCCCAAATGAGAGACCCTCTGAATACGTCAACCTAACACTCCAAAAGATTAAAAAAGAAATCACAGCATCAACAATTATATTGGGTGACTTCAACACACTGCTCTCTGAGAAAGATAGATCACAGGGAAAGAAACTCAACAAGGAGGCTAGAGTTCTAAACACTATAATTAGACAGTTTGACCTGATAGATATGTACAGTTTTTCATGCAAAATCACATTCTTCTCAAGCCCAGATGGCACATATTCAAAGATAGACCACATGCTGGGGCATAAGGCGAATCTACATAAATTCAAGCGCATTGATATCATACAGACTTCTCTCTCTCTGACCACTGTGCCATAGCCTGGAAATCAACAAAAGGAAGACAAATAAAACAAGAGCAAACAATTGGAGGATGAATAACTCCAAAAGGAGTGTGTACTGGTGCAGATCAGAGATGAAATTAGGAAATTTCTAGAAACCAAAGAGAATGAGCACACAATTTACCAAAACTTATGGGACACAGCAAAGGCAGTTATCAGAGGAAGTTTTATAGTAATACATGCACACCTGAGAAAGGAAGAGAGACTCATGATTGATATGCTGGTACAAAATTTACAACAATTATAGCAGAGTCAGCAGGACAATCCTACTAATAGCAAAAGAAAAGAAATTATAAAAATCAGGGCTGAGATTCAGGAGAGGGAAAATAAGAAAACTTGAAAAAATTAATGCTGCTAAAAGTTGGTTCTTTGAAAGGATAAATAGAATTGACAGACTACTGGCAAACCTAACCAAAGAAAGGAGGGAACAAATTTCAATAGCAAGAATAAGGATTGAAAGAGGGGACATTAAAACAGACCCTAATGAAATCAAAAGGATAATTACACAGTACTACAAAGGATTGTACTCGAATGAATCCAACAATTTGGAAGACATGGACAAATTCTTAGAAAAACAATCCCTCCCTAGACTATCCTCGATGGACGTCAAGAATCTCAACAGACCCATAACAATAGAAGAAATAGACAAGGTTATCAAGGGACTACCAACAAAAAAATCCCCTAGACCAGATGGCTTCACCAGAAAATTCAACCAAGCATTTAGGGAAGAACTAACACCAATCCTATACAAACTCTTCCAGAACATAGAAAAAGACGGCAAACTCCCGACCTCCTCTACGAAGCTAGTATAACTCTGATACGAAAACTGGGCAAGGATCCCACAAGAATCAAGAACTACAGACCAATATCCCTAATGAACATCGAAGCAAAAATTCTTAACAAAATACTAGCCAACAGAATACAAAAGTATATAAAACAAATAATTCACCATGACCAAGTGAGATTCATACCAGATATACAAGGATGGTTCAACATACAAAAGACCATTAGTATTATTCATCACATTGACATGAAAAACTGTAAGAACCACAGGGGCAGAAATCTGAATGGCCAACAAACATATGAAAAAATGTTCCCGATCTTTAGCCATAAGAGAAATGCAAATAAAAACAACAATGAGGCACCACCTAACACCCTCAAAGGTAGCCCAATTCAAAAAATCAGAAAGCAACAAGTGTTGGAGGGGCTGTGGGGAGACAGGCACTCTCATCCACTGCTGGTACACTTGTAAGTATGTACGACCACTATGGAAATTGGTCTGGCAATATCCAAAACAGATGGAAATTGAGTTAGCATACGACCCAGCCATCCCCCTACTGGTCCTATACCCAGAAGAGACAAGAAACAAACCAAGGCCGGACATCTGTGCTCCAATGTTCATTGCGGCACAGTTCACAATTACAAGGAGTTGGAAACAACCCAAATTTCCATCAACTGACGATTGGATTAAAGGACTGTGGTATATACATACAATGCAGTAGTACACATCGCTAAAAAGCAGTGATGAATGTATGAAGCACATCGCTGCATGGGAAGAAATGGAGGAAATCATGCTAAGCAAACTAAGTCAGGCACAAAAGGACAAGTACAACATGAGTCCGCTGAAGTAAGCTTTAAAAAAAATGCAAAAGGGGAATATGGAAAAAGCTACTGTATACAAACATTCCTGGGGTGAGGACTGGATAGTATGGCAGGGACCAGATCAAATGCAGGGATGCACATGGTAGACAACTTTGGAGGAGGTGGGGAAAGGGAAAAAATGATGATAATAAGGAAAAAATGGGTAGCAGGGGCATGGGCGCTAACCCACCCAAGGGGAGGGTATTGTTTATATCTTCACAGGGAAAGGGGGACCAGACTTCAACCCAGTGTTCCAAGGTGTGAATGCAACATGCCGGCATGGAGTAGGGAACCAGTGGAGAGGTCTGGGGGGTTAGCCCCAGACCCAAATACTAAGTGGATGCCTGCCCTTCCCCCGAGAAGAATTTATTTCAAAGGACAGCACTGAATCTGCAGCTCTGAGAGAGGGACATAACTGACCAGAGCACAGGGGGGAACAGATGAAGAGAGAGGAGGAGAGAGTGGAGCACATCCTGGCCCACCAGGCCTTGAGGACGATGATCCCAATTACAGCAGCCAGTCCACA